CTTTTTTCTCAGCATGATCTCCATTTCACTCACCCCCAGCACACCCTGCCTTAGTTTAAAAGGTATAGTGTTATTATGATAGCAATCTGATATTCAGAGTTTTTTTCTGGACTTCATGACAATCCAACGTTATTGATTTTTCCCCCATGTTCTTCAGCGCAAAGTACCAGCCATACCACCTAATGAATACTTTGACATTTAAATGAGAAGTGGAAGGAAAAACTCCCACAAATGAACAAACAGAACCCTAAATCGATTTTTAATTATAAAAAGGAATTTAAATAACCGCACAAGGCTCCCCAAATCGCAGGCAGAAGTCCTAATACTAGTAATGTCCGAGAGGCAAGTGGCTTACAATATCGTGAAAAAGATGGAGGGACGTGTCTATATCCAATCTAAATATAATTTACAAGTAGCTGTGACATTATAGGATCATAGATAAGTTCAAAATTGTTTTTGGAGGGTTAAATTGAGACCCTCTTGATCATTTTAATGCAGCACGATTTCCAATTTGCATCATCCAAATTAGCATCAACTAGTATCACGCCATACTATGATTGTCCCCATTTTTTTTTATTGACCCCATTTTACAGATGTGCAAACTGAGACTTAGGGGCAGAAACCATTTGTCTACGCTTGCCACAGTGCAGATCAAAGATAGGAAAATTAATGGGTTTCAGAGTTCATTCCATCACGTAGTAGCGGCACGCGACCAGGAAACAAAAATGTCCCTGGGGCTCCCTCCCCAGAGCTGGAAACCGACACCACATCTCCAGCCTGGGGAGATTCTGGCCCGGGAGGTTCCCGGCACCAGGCAGCGCCCCCTTCGGGCCACAGTGCGCAGGCGCGGCGCGCCCGTCCCGCCCCCGCCCCCCTCCACGTGCGGCGCACACCTCGCGTTCTCTCCAGCGGACTCGCCTCGCGCCTCCCTCCCCGCCTCCTCCCGCTTCTCCGGTCCTGGCCTCCCATTGGCTGAGGACTTCGTCCCTCCGAGAGCCGCCCGGCCGGCCCGCGCCAGGCCGGAAGACCCGCCCCACGAGCGGCCTTCCGTGCTGTTGATTGGTCCAGGCGGCCGTCAGTTGGAGCGGCGGGCCCCGAGTCGGCGGCGGGGGCCCGGGGTCGGTGCGCGACCCGTACTGGCGGTGGTTTCCGGTTCCGCGGGGCTGGCGGGCGGGCGGGCGGTCGGGAGCGGCGGCGGCGGCGGCGCCTGACAGACAATGAGGGCGGCGGGGAGGCGTTGAGCGGCGGCAGCGGAGGCGGCGAGCGACGCGGGGCCCGGGGGCGGGGCTGGGCGGCAGCCATGGACAATCAGGTGAGGAGCGGCCGCGCCGCCCCAGCGCAGCCCGCGCCGTCCGCCCGGCCCCCTTCCTCCCTCCCTCCGTTTGGCTGCCCGGCCCTCCTGGGTCCCGGCCTCCCCGCCCCCTCCCGGCGCCCGCCCGCCCCGCTTTGTGCGCGCCTGCCGCTCCCCGAGCCTTTATGTGGGGCAGGGGCGCCCCTCCCCCATCCGCGACCCGGGCCTGGCTGGAGCGCCTGGGACCCTCCCGGGGATCCGGGCAGGCCTCGCCCAGAGCCTCCGGGACGCCCGTTGGGACCCCTGTGCGGCCAAGAACCCTCTGGGGCGCCCCTCGGGAACGCAGCCCAGAGTCCCCACAAGCGCCCTGGGGACCGCTCAGGTTCCTCGGATCCAGCCTGTACCCCCTTTCTCCTTTGGGCTGGCCTGAGTCTCCTTTCCCTTCTGGGCCCTTGGCCCCGAGTCCCCTCAAGCTCCTCGAGTCCCCAACCTGCTGCCCGTTCTCTCCCTTAAACTGTGGCCTGGGTTTGAGTCCCCCCAGAACCCTGGGACCTTGGTTTGCAGCCGGCTCCTTCCTCGAACCCTAAGCCTTCATACCGCTCATCGTCTTCGAGGCCTGAGCCCTCTCCCCTCTGATCCTGCTCCTGCCTCAGCCCGAGTGTCCATCGGTCCTCAAAGCCTGGCCAGGACCTGGGTCTTTGCCCACAAGGACCCAGGCCTGCGTTGAATGACCCCCCTTTGGGCCTGAGGTTGCTTCTTCAGGTGCCTTTGCCTTAAGGATCTGCTGTCTCGCTCCCTCTGCTTTCAGGCCCTGCTCACTCCCCGAGTCCCCAGTGCCTTAGGGGCTGTCTCACCTTCAGACCCTCTTCTCTTAGACCCGCCCGCCCCCGCCCCTCAGGCACCAAACGCCTCTCCCGCTGCTTGGGCCCTCTTTGATCCTGGAACCCTGGTTTACCCTTCCCCACCCTGTCCCCCAACCCAGATCTCTCTCATCAGTATGGTTCCTCCAGCCTCCCTTAACAGACCTGCAGTCTCCCCGGAACCCCTGGGCCTCTCTCTTTACTTTCAGTCTTGCGCTGTGTTCCACCATTCCCCAGCCTGATGCTGTGACTCCGCCAGTGCCCTCCCAGCACACCTCACTTTCCCCGTCTTCCCCAGGAGCCTTGCTCCAAGCCCCGGGTGGTTCCCTAACTTCTGTAAACTCTCCCCATGGCCCCCCTCCCTTCCTTCTGGAAACAGCCAGTCCTGTCAGTTCTGGTGAACCTGAGGCCTTTTTGGATCATTTATTTCTTCATCCTCCACTGCTGTCCCTGGCTTCCAGGGCCCTGAGGCCAGGAAAGGCGTAGTGGGGCTGTGGGGGTGGCAGCTGAAATCTCTGCCATTATCGAGGGCAGGTTGAGGCGTCCCTGGCTGCTGGCGCCACTGAGGCGGCTCAGTCTGGTAAGGCGCTGTGTCTCTGAGGTTTCTGGGGTGTAGGGCAGGAGACCTCTCCCCTGCCCATCCTGGCCGCCGTGGTGGCACAGGATCGTTGAGGCTTGTGTTTGTGGCACCCTCTCACTGTGATTTCCCTTGTGGTTTTGGTGTTACTACCTTTCTTTTCAGAGGGAAGGAAGAGTATCACAGTTGAATAGTGGAGTTCTACAGTGTAGTGTGAATTCAGTCCCCTTGAAGGTACAGAGCTTGTTGCCTTCAGTTCATATGGAGTTATAAACAAAACAAAATATACCTTCAGTGTCCACTTTCAACAAAGCCCACCTCTGGAAAGGGCTTGTTGGGCACTGCATGGGTGTAGAATGTCACTCTTGCCTCTTGCCTGACATGCTGGTTCCCCGGGAAGATGTCTTAGGCCCAAGAGTGTCCATTCCCCCTGGACGGTTGTCATGTATGTAAGTGGAATGGTGAGACCGAGTGGACTGTTGAACACACTCGAGAGAGTGAGATCCGTATTGCCCAGCACTGGCCACCAGCACCTGTGGCTTGTTAAATAAACCAAAATGAAAAAAAATCAGTGCTTCAGTCACATTTTCAGTGCCCAGTGAGTCTACCGCTGACCTGTCAGCCCCCTCACTGGGCAGCATGGAGAGATGGCAGAAAGGTCCGTTGGACCGTGCTGGTCTAGATCCTTGCAGCAGTATTTGCAAGTGAAACTGATCCTAAAGGAAAGGATGTGTCACCCGTAGACTGATTCTCCATCCTGGTGTGTTTTCATGCAAATTTGGGAGCCTACCCACGTCGGCAAGTGGCAAGTTGACGGTCAGTGTCCCAGAGCGACTTCTGGTGTATGGTAAAGGCTTTGATCCCGCAGCCTCAGCCTTGCCTTTTTCTCCCAGGATGCCCCAGACCTGTAAGTGCCTCTGCCTGATGAGGGACAACAGGATTTTTCCTGAAGGGCCGCCAGCTTTGGGAGTCTTTGCTTCTCTTTACTTTCCTGTTGTGTTCTCTAGAAGTTCCAACCCAGCTAAGAAAGGCAATGCTGCATTTTGCTCTGGGCACCCAACTTCTCAGCATCAAAATCTTTCCCCATGGGTAGGCAAAGTCTTTATGTTTCCAAGCCTGTACTTAACACGTCCGATGTCTGTGGGATTTGGTTTTTGTGTGTTTTTTAGGGGGGAAGAGGCCATGTACTTTGGGAGGAGGCGGGGGGGGGGGGGGCAGATCTTTGCTCATTAGGTGTGTGATTCATCTCCAAGGATGGTAGGGAAGGAACAGGCGTAGTTAAAGGCCAAGCAGATGCTGGGAGGATGGGGAAGGGCTGCCTGGGGAACTAGAACTGGTGTCAGTGTCTGGGTGATTCTGTTCTCCAGAGGACCACGGTGTCCTTTCTTCACAGAAGCACTGGGCATGGCACCGAGGGTGGATGGCCAACCCATTGAATCACAGTTGAGTTAATGCTGATTCTTCAAATGGTTCTCTCTTGAGTTTGAAATTGGGAACAATTGCTTGTGACCATACTCTGTTGTTCCGGAAGGGGAGGTTTGTTTCTAACGGTGATGGCCCATTTTACAGATGTGTAAATGCAGGCTCTGGGAGGCCCCCAAAGGAGTCAGGCCTTAGTGGCATTCTTAGGTAGGTCTCCTTTACCGAGACCTTGCAGAGAAATGCTTGGAATTGTTCAGAGCACTGACACGAGTGACTGGATTTTCTCCCATCCAGGTCTGAAACTACCGGTTGGAAAGTCAGCATGCCAAGTTTCTGTCCTGAAGTTAACTATGTTGTAAAGTACTTGAGGGGGGGACCCGAGTCTTATTTCCCTTTATGTCCATGAAACACAATTTTGAATAAGCTTTGCTAACTGTTCGTTAAATAAAAGTAACTAGTTATCAGCTCCTTGTAACCAGGCCCACCTACCCTGGCCACAGTTGCCTTTAGTATTGAGTTTGTAGTGTTTAAAAAAAATTCCCCGAACTGCTCCCTAGAGAACTTTGGCGACACCCTGCCGTCTACATGTCTGCAGGCATCTCCTGCATATGTAATATATACCCTGTCCCAGCCTTCCTGGAGGGCTGGTGAGCGTCTGTCTTCCCAGGAACCTGAAAACTAAGGATTGTAGGTTTATTTGCATATCCACATGGTCTGCACACTTAGAGAGTTTCCAGAGAGCACTCATTGAGCTCCCTCTCATCCCTTTATCATTAACCTTACCCCCCTGGTGAAAGGGACAAGGCTGGACAGAGTCAAAAGAGGGGTGCAGGTGCTGGCTGCTGTCCCCCAGTGTACCAGCAGTTAGAAGACTAGTGTCCCATGCAGCTTGGTTCTTTCCCCCTCTGGGCAGGCTGCCCTCCTCTGGAGAGGATTGTCACCAAGGGCCATCCTTCATTTTCTGTCTTTTTCACATTCATTTGTGGCTGCTTCTGAGAGCCCCCCACTGGGTCTGGAGGGAGTTCTGCGAAGAGTATTTTATTTGGTCTTGTGTCACTGCCACTTCATGTGACCAGTACTTTTTCCCATTTCTTGTAAGTGTGGACCATATTGCCAGTGATCTGCTGGGTCCAGTTAGACCTGGCAAAATCAATCCTGACTGCTGAGGGGAAATGCTCTTGGGTGCTTTATCTTTCTGGGAGGGGAGTGGATTGTCACATCTGTGGGACTTAGACGTTGTAGCCAAACTCCAGGCTTAATTATGCCACTCAGTAAAGTGAATTCCCAGAGGAAAGGGCATCTGTTGAGAATTCCCACCAGAAATCAGGGAAAATCTTACAGATAAATTTGTTGCTGAAGAACTGCCTTCTGGGGCTCAGGCTGAGGGCAGGGTTCACAAGGTACAGAAAGGATCCGACAAAGAAAGGTCATTGAAGGAGTGGAGCTGTTGGGACCAGGTTGGCTCTTTCTCTTTGCCAGGTGGAGGCCATTCAAGTCCCCCTGGGGGTGGGGGGCTCTGTGCTCCAGTGAAATCCCTGGAGAGCCAGGATCTGTTTGCCTGGCTTGTAGGACTTAGGAGTTTGGCCTTGTTTTCCAAGTGCCCTCTGCCAGTTGGCCTGGAGAGACGGCAGTGCCCGCTGAGGCCCTCTGCCCATGGTGAACTGTCCCCAGACAGCCCTTGGAGCCCGTGTGCTGCGCCATCTTCATCCACAGGTTTTGGGATGAAATATTCCCCTTTGTTCCAGGTTTTTGTTGGGGGAGTGGGTGGCAAAGTGGTCCCCAAGATGCTGGGACATGGCAGTAACTGAAGCTAGGTTAGAACTCCAGAGCCCTACAGAGCCACTTCCAGCTACCCACTCTGGAGGTCCCATAAAGGGCCTCCATGCAGCTGAACAGTGAGGTTCTTCATTCCCAGGCAGGTTTCCCTAACCAACAGTTAACCCCTTTAGCCAGCTACCCTTCCTAGAGAAATAGCTAATTTGCTTCAATTATTTGGTTCTAATGGACAGGGAAGGAGTCCAGGAAGAGTAAGGAAAGGAGGAGCAGAATCCTTGGAAGTGAAATTGGCTTAGCCATATTAATAAATTATTATGACTTGACAAGTCAGGGTAGTTGGCCAGGGCTCAGCTTCTTGCTTGCCTCCAGTTCAGTGTCGCTTGAATGTCTTACTGAATCAGTGAGTCATATGTATAATAGCCCACAATCTGTGTTATTCCACCATCTTTATTTTTTAGAAGATTCCAGCATTCAGGGAAGTGATCCTCTCCTGAGTGCATCACTGTATTGCAGTTATTGGTACCTTGAACCTGGGGGTGTGGAGGCTGAGTTTATGCCAGCCTCTAGGGCACAGATGCCGCTGCCCAGCAAGCTTTGGGCATGGCCTGCCAGCTACAGAGATGACCTACCGCTGCTTCAGAACCTTCCTGTTTGTTTACTTTGGCCTGTGGAGTGTATTTTTGGTGCTTCCATTTTCCCCTTTCTGATGGAACTGTGGCCTCTATTCTTTCACAATAACTGCTTTGCTGATCGTGTGCCCTGGGTAGGAACCCCGCATAATCAGAAATGCTGGGAAGGCAGCTGGATTGGTGAATAACAGAATCTGAGGAGGTATCTCATTACGCAGGAGTTAACTCCAAAGAACAAAAAGTTGTTTGCCAGTAAATTATTGTTATGATTGTATGTATTTAGTTTTCCACCAGTAACCCTCCCAACAGTCCAGGGATTGTCTCCCGATTTCTCAGTGTGGAAGCAGGTGGGAGAGAAAGGCAGAGTTTCTTACACACATGGACATGCAGATGGTGATTACAGCCTTTCGGGATAATGTAAATATTGCTTGGGTTTGTTTATGTTTAATGTTGTCCATGTGCGGCACTGTGCAGACAGATGCTTATGGTTGATTTGAGCATTACATGTTTATCCAGATGTGTGGCCCCTTCTCTCTAGCTTTAGGTGAGGTATTTCCACTTGAATAGGCCCAATACTCCCTCCCACCATCCCAGGAGCATCCCAGCTACCTGGGTCTCAGAGTTATTTGAGCCTCCTTTGCTCTCCTCCTCTGTCCACCCTGAGGTCTTGTGAGTTCTCCCATTTCAGGCTCGACTTACCCTCGTTTTTTAGCCACACCCTCTGGTTGCCTTCATGTGGACTTGTTTCTTTTCTGCCTTCAGCCCCGACTGCACAGATTGCCCAGGCCCTCCTTGCTCGTTTCCCAAGGAGCCCCTCAGGGACTGTTCTGTGTCAGGGGAACTCCTACCCTGTTTTTACAGCTGCTCATGAGTTACCCAGAGCTTCTGTTAGGTCTTCTGTATATCGGGACCATCCTTTAATTCTTAACACAGTTCTTATTGGCTCTTCCTCTTGGAAAGCACCACTTAGAACTCATTGATCTAGGAAGGCCTTCTAGTTTGATTCATTAAGTATAGTTGATGCCTCATGTACCGTGATTCCAAGATAGAGGTTAGAAGGACGGTTGAGATGTAGTCCTGGGGAGGCAGCAGTGAACAGCCCAGGAGTAGCAGCAGGACCAAGCGGGCACACAGCAATCGGAAAGCGCTCTGGAGAAAGTAGCTCTTAAGCTGGGGTTTAAGGGATGAGTGGAATTCGATCAGCAGGGAAATGAGTAGGACACAGGCTGCAGACTTGAAGGAGCAGAGACAGACAGGAGTAGGCATTCTGCATGTGTTCTGGGATGCTAGCATCCTACTAAGCTGGATCGGAAGTGGTGTGCATTTTCTGTGTTTCCTCAGTTCCAAGCCTTTCGGGCACACCACAGACTTAGTAACAGCTTCTTTGTGTGTTTGCATGTGTGGGTCTTGGTGGTGCTGTGGTGTGTGACTTATACATGGACTGCACAATACACTCTGACCTCAGAAGGGTTAAAAAGTGAAAAATAATGAGCATCTCAGACTTGAAGAAACACAGGTGGGAGACTGCCAGTGTGCTGAGGCATTTGGACTTCATTCTGAGGGTGCGGTGAGCCGTGGAAAGTTGTGAAACAGTGAGAGATAGGATCTGTCTGTCTGCCCTGCTTTCATCGCAGAGACTGAGCAGTGAGAAGAAAGTGAAGAGGGAGGGAGGACTGAACGGGTTGCTGAATTGCCGAGAAGAGGCAGGTACAGAGGAACTGTGGCCAAAGGGACACGTCATCAGTGGGTTGGGTGGAAAGGAGGGTAGATAGTGAACAGGGGGAGATTTCTGGTCAAGGGAGAGCAGGGAAGCCCATCACAGGGGAGCTTTGTTTGGGGAGTGTGGCATCCACACACCCACGACTTGCTCCTGATTATCTCAGCACTTAGGAGCAAGTGTGCACTTGGCCTCTGCTTCTTTGTATCATTCCTGCATTTGATACTAGGTGTCGAGCTGTATCTATGGGAGGTCTGGGGAGGCTCTTACTGAGGAGATGGCTGTTTACAGTTGGTTCCCTGGCAGTGTTTTGACACCCACCCTCCCCCAAGATGTTGCCAGTGCTTCGAGGTTTTGTGGCTTTGTATCCAGTGGAGTGGAACCAGCATGAGCTGCCTTATGTTTCAGGGCAGAGTGACAGACGTGAGCATAATGAATGGAGCCTGACTACTGGGGCTGCAGGTCCACCTGGGACCTGTCCCCAGATGGCTTCAACCTCACCCCTCCATTCTCACCATTCTGCTCTTAAAACTGAGCCACCAGCCCTAGCTGGTTTGGCGCAGTGGTTAGAGTGTTGGCCTGCTTAGTCGGTGAGGATTCGATTCTGGTCAAGGGCATGTACCTCGGTTGCAGGCTGTATCCCTAGGCTCCGGTTGGGGTGAGTGTGGGAGGCAACCAATCGATGTGTCTCTGTCACATTTATGTCTCTCTCTTCTCCCCCTCCCTTCCACTCTCTGAAAATCAATGGAAAAAGAATATCCTCGGGTGAGGATTAACAAAAAAATGGAGCCACCATTTGTGTGGATGACTCGGTCTCTGTTCTCCAGGAGGCATTCTGTAGGACAAGGGAGAATGAAAATGCATTAATTAAGGAGCGTGGGAGGCTTGACCAGGGAGGCAAGCTGGCAGAGTGGCTACAGGAACAGGCCCTTGGGGACGCACACCTGGATTTGAGTCTGGGCCCTGTTCCCTACCAACTGGGCCCCCCTGTGTGTGCTACTTAGCAGCGCACTCTTGGAGCTTTGGGTTTCTCATCTGTAAAAGGAGGTAATCGCACTTCTTCTTTTTTTTTTTAAATATACTTTTATTGATTTTTTTTTTTAAAGAGAGGAAGGGAGAGGGATAGAGAGTCAGAAACATTGATGAGAGAGAAACATTGATCAGCTGCCTCCTGCACAACCCCCACTGGGGATATGCCTGCAACCAAGGTACATGCCCTTGACTGGAATTGAACCTGGGACCCTTGAGTCTGCAGGCCAACACTCTATTCACTGAGCCAAACTGGTCAGGGCCTTTTTTTTTTAATCCTCTCTTGAGGATATTTTTTCCATTGATTTTTAGAGAGAGTGAAAGGGAGGGGCAGGGGGAGAGAGAGAAACATCAATGTGAGACACATTGATTGGTTCCTGAGGTACATTACCTTGACGGGGAGTCAAACCCGAGACCCTCGGTCTATAGGCTGGCGCTCTAACCATTTAGCAAACTGGCCAGGGCATATCGTACTTCTTGTATCAGTATATTCTGGGAGACCTTAGGGATGGCAACTCTGTACAAGGAGCCATCCCCGAGGAGCCAATGTTAGAGCGAGTAAACAAACCTTTAGTAAGATGCCTTTTGATAGTGAAAAATGCTAAAACATGATGTGACAGAGTGATGGGGATGGTGGTGGGTGGTTTCATATTAGGTGGGCAGTCCAGTCGAGACCTCAGGGACAGAAAGGAGCCTGTCATGGGGAGGATTAGGGGTGGAGCACATAAGGCAGAGGGAACTGCAGGTGAGGGGGAGGTTAGAGAGGAACCGTAGCCATGGCTTGGGCTTGCTGAGGGGAGGAGATGTGTAAAACAGGCACACAGTACCTGGTCCTCATGGACAGTTGGCAGTCTCCTGCTCTGGGCTTTGTGCTGACCCCATGCCCACCTCTTTCTCCCACCAGTGCACTGTCCAGGTCAAGTTAGAGCTGGGACACCGGGCCCAACTGCGCAAGAAGCCCACCACGGAGGGGTTCACACATGATTGGATGGTGTTCGTCCGCGGCCCCGAGCAATGTGACATCCAGCACTTCGTGGAGAAGGTGGTCTTTTGGCTGCATGACAGCTTCCCCAAGCCCAAGCGTGGTGAGTGGCCCCTGGCTCCCCCTCCCCGCCCAGCCAGGCAGCCCCACAGGATCTAGTGCCTACAACACTAACCAATTTGCGTCACTCCTTGCAAGGCTGGTGTTCACCTTCTCTCCAGGGGCGGCGGGCTCACACTCTGAGGTTCTAGCTTGCACCCCTCGGCATGCCAGTGAGAAGTTTACCGGCCAGCACTTGGTCCTTCTTTGACCCTGTAAAGGTCCCCCTCCCTCCCTTCTGCTCCTTTGCTATGGAGTTCATAGTAGGGAAAACCCAAAGGAACTGATGACTGTGTCTCATGTCATTATTTAGACTCAGGCTCTGAGAAGTCTCCAGAGAAAACATAGTCAGTGGCCAGTGGGTGGGAATGGGTGGTTTACACCCACTTGGTGAGTAATCAGGAATTGCTTATTGGGCCTACATTTGATGAGAGATGCCATTTTAAGAACTCATGATACTTGTGAGGGGGGACAAAGCATAAAAGGTGCTCATTTCACCACTGTCTTGTTTCTTATGTCTTCCTTTCCTGTGTCATAAGTCTCTGTGTCACCTCTCAGACTGTTGTTTGATGAGCACAAGCGCCTCATTCGCGTTTTCCACGAAGATTCGGATTTCCTGTGACCTGGCAGTCTGACAGGGCAGAGAGAAGGGGATCAGAGAACACTTCCTGGGGAATTTGACGGGGATCTTAGGAACATAGTTGGTAGCCATCTTATGAGCTCTGTGGGGCCATGTTTGCTCTTCTCATCACTGAGTCCCCATTGTGAAGCCTGGCATGTCACAGGGGCCCAGTAAATATTTCTTGAATGGATGTGTCGATGAAGGCATGAAGGACTTTTTGCTAGCAAAGTGCTTCAGGGTTGGGAAGCCACTGCTGCACTGCTGACCCCTCTCCTTGCAGGACAGGGTTTAGGTGCCCAGGCCTGAGCCGGAAGCCAGCTTGGACAGATCTGGGTCTGGGCCTGGGTCAGCAAGTAGCTGACTTACGTTACAGAAGCAGAAACTTCTGGTTAAGAAGGGAAGGCAACCTGAGATTCCTACTGGCATGGTAGTCATTTCTTTTTCTTCTGGTTTCTTCCGTCAGCGTTCAGTTGTTTCTTTCCTTCATTTCTCTTTTCCCGAATCTTTTCTCTCCTTTCTCTCTGAGCTGCTTGTAGGAGAGCAGACATGTTACTGACAGCAGATACCTGTAAAGCACCTATTAATAATAATAATAATAATAATAATAATACATGGCACTATCAAGCACTTCCTGCAGGGTCGTTTGTTTGTTTTATATTTTTATTGATTTCAGAGAGAAAGGGAGAGGGAGAGAGAGATAGAAACATCAATGATGAGAGAGAATCATCGATTGGCTGCCTCCTACATGCCCCTTATTGGGGATCAACCTGCAATCCAGGCATGTGCCCTTGACTGGAATCGAACCCGGGACCCTTCAGTCCACAGGCCAACGCTCTGCCCACTGAGCCAAACCAGCTAGGGTTCCTGCAGGGCCTTGACTCATTCTCCCCATAGCTCTCCTTTACAGATGGGGAAACAGCCTCCAGTGGGCCAGGTAAGCTGCCTGTACTTAAAGCAGTGGTTCACACACTGGCCTGGGGGCCTGCGTGGTAGCGCTGCCTGTTTGTTTTGGCACCCGGCCATGCCCATTTATTTGGGAGTCCTCTAGGGCCGCTGTTGAGCTTTAACAGCAGAGTAGAAACTGGCTGCCTTTTTCCTGTGAGTTGGGCCCGCCTTGTTTCCCTAGCAGCTTCCACTCCAGCTCTTTCACCATCTCCCTCGCTTGTCCTCTTCCTTTTCTCCCAGTGGACTCAGGATGATTATATCCATTCACCTTTAAACTAGTTCATTTTTGCCCCTACAGGGTCAGTAACCAAGCAGCTACTAGAAGTAATATTAATAGTGGTCTGCATTTGTCAAGCACTCACTGGTCTGTGTGCTGTGCTCATGACAGCCCTGCAACATGGTACGTCCCAGAATTCCTGCCAGGTAGATGTGGAAACTGAGGTTCAGGAGGCCCCGTATCCCACTTATGGTCATGTGGAAGCAGCATAGTCTCTGAGTTCCAAGCTCCAAGAAAATGGGTGATGAGTGAGTTCCACTTTCTTAGTGTCAGTTAGTGGGTAGAACTTAAATTAGTAGTTGAATGGTGTTTGCCAAGTCTACTCACACTGTGTGAAATAGTAAATGTCTGGTTGGCTATTTATTGTGTTGAACAAAACTTGATTGGATTATACTCTGCCAGTTGTCAATGAAAAATGGAACAGGTTAAAGCAGGGGTCCTCAAACTTTTTAAACGGGGGGCCAGTTCACTGTCCCTCAGACCGTTGGAGGCCCGGACTATAGTTTAAAAAAAACTATGAACAAATTCCTATGCACACTGCACATATCTTATTTTGAAGTGAAAAAACAAAACGGGAACAAATACAATATTTGTATTTGCATGTGGCCCGCAGGCCGTAGTTTGAGGACCCCTGGTTTAAAGAGTCAATGAGGCCCTAGCTGGTTTGGCTCAGAGGATAGAGCATTGGCCTGCGTACTAAAGGGTCCCAGGTTCGATCCGGTCAAGGGCATGTACCTTGTTGCAGGCTCCCCCTGGTCAGGGCCCTGATCAGGGCGCATGCAGGAGGCAACCAATCGATGTGTTTCTCTCACATCGATATTTCTCTCTGTCTTTCCCTCTCTCTTCCACTCTTTCTAAAAATCAGTGGAAAAATATCCTTGGGTGAAGATTAAAAAGAGTGAATGAGTTTCTTACAGGACTCTTGGCTCTGAAATTATACGTTATGTACTTTAAAAAAATATCTTTAAATCAGATAAATACACATAATAGGAACGTGCCTGGTGGGAAGTTTCCATTTCTTGGGCCATCACTGTTCACATTGCCCCAGGGCCAGTCTTTCTAGTTTTTTCTTGATTGTGTTCTTCCTGAATACTTTAAGTTAGTGGAAGTGAATTGGCTTCTTAATTCTTGATTTTCAAATTTAAAAAATACTAATTAACCAGCATGAAAAGCTAGCCTTTATACTAAACTCCCAACTCCTTTTATTCATTATCTGCTCTAAATGTTTTATGGTTAAGTGATTCATTTTGTGGTGATTGTCCTTGTGACTTTAAATAATGAGCATACCTGCTTACCTTTTGGATTCTCCACAAAGGCTCCCTGTCACCCATTTTAAACAAGTCCTCTGGCTGCCAGGTCTAACTCACAGTCTTTGTTCAAAACACCTAAATAGCCACATGCTCCTGTCCTTTTTTTCTATTTTATTTTTCTCTTTAGTACCGTTTTAACATATTTATATTACTTACCTTGTTCATCTGAGTTGTGTCCTGCCTCAGTTTGCTGCTATCTCCTTGGTGCTGAAAGGATTAGGTAGGCGCTGCCAGCTTCTGTCAGTTTTTGACTTTCTGCTTAGGAAGAGAAGGACATGAGCACCCCTGTCTTTCTTTGAATCTTAGCACCCCTCCTTGACGTTGTTAAAGTTGTTGAACTCAAACTGAGACTTTCACCGGGTACAGAAATTGACTAAAAGCTGGAAATCAGTAAGCAGTATTGACTTTATTGACTTTGTTCACTGTTGGGCTAGTCAGGATGCCAGGTTTTCATTCATTCTGTCTGAACTCTGGGTCACTCACAGAAGAACACTCAAGGTAATGTCAAGGCAGATGGGTTCTTTCTTTATCATTCTTGGTTAAAATTCAGTCCTGGGTCTTTTGCTTCATGTTTGGGCCCTAACTTTTTGAATACCCCTTTGCTTCTCCCTTTTCTCCCATTGCATTGTGTCTTCATCATACCTCCACTTTTTTCTATCCTCAATCATTTCATTTAGTCAATGGATTTTTCCCGCCCTGAATATTTCATTCTGGTTCTCTCTGTCTTCCTTCCTCTAATAAGGGCTGGCTCCTCTCAAAGCCACCTCTCTAGTCACCCCGCTGGGATGTTCCTTTACTGTTCTCCTGAGCGGATTTATTTGTTACCTTACATTTTGTTTTGTTTTTCTGGAGTAATTTCACAAGTAATATCCCAAGAGATTGATTACTTAGGACAGTGGTCAGCAAACTGCGGCTTGCGAGCCACATGCGGCTCTTTGGCCCCTTGAGTGTGGCTCTTCCACAAAATACCGACTTCTGTGCATGGGCCACGAAGTTTCAATCACACTGTACATGCGCACCCATGTGGTATTTTGTGGAAGAGCCACACTCAAGGGGCCACAGAGCCGCATGTGGTTCGCCAGCTGCAGTTTGCCGACCACTGACTTAGGACATTTCCCAAGAAAGGTAAGTGGGAAGTGAACTTTTTGACTCCTAGTATGTTTGAAAGTACCATTATTCTGTTCTCACACTGGGGTGCTAGTGTGGCTGAGTATAAAATTCTAGTTTGAGAATTACTATCGTTTAGAGCTTTGCAAGTATTTGCTTTGTAGTCTTCAGAAAAGTCTGATGCAGTTAGGTTCTTGTTTTATTGTAAATGACCTGTTTTTTCTCTAGAAGCATTTAAGCTACTTTTTAAGATATTGGTTCTGAGGGGTTTTTTTTGTTTTTGTTTTGTTTTTTTCTGTGATGTCCTTCATTTAGCTCCAGAAAGTTTTTTTTTATCTTTGATTATTTCTTTTCATCTATGTATTTTATCTGTTTTCTCTTTCTAGGATGGTTATTACTTCTCTATGTGTAAATATTTTATCTATAAAATGGAAACAATTGTATCTGCCTCAAGGTTGTTGTAAGGATTAAATGAATTAATATGTGTCAAGTGCTGATAATAGTACCTGGCACACAGTAGGTGCTTTATAAATATTAGCTGCTGTTAGCATTTGTTTGACCTTCTGAATTGTTTCTTCATGTCTCACCTTTTTCTTTTAAGAAACATGTTTTTTTGCTCTACATTCTAGGAAATTTCCTTAGCTTTAGTCTTTGCATGGAATTAAAAAAATGATCAGTACTATATTTGTACTAAAAGCCCTATCTTATTCCCTCATTTTCCCTTTTAAAATTATTTTTGTTTGGGGGCATATTTTAGACCTGAGGACAATGACTCCAGCTTCTTGTTTTTAAAAATATTTTAAATTGATTTTTTAGAGAGAGGAAGAGGGATAGGGAGAGATGTGAAAGTGAGACATCGAACCAGGGATGATGCTTCAAACATTTCTTTAAAATTCTCACCTGAGGACATTTAAAAAAAAATTTGATGAGAGAGAGAGAGAGAGAGAGAGAAAGAAAGATCGATAGATTGCTTCCAGTACGCATTCCGATCGGGGATCAGACCTACAACTAGGTATGTGCCCCGACTGGGACTCAAACCCGCAGTGTTTTCCTAAACGAGAAGGGCTCTACTCTGGGTCCAGTTTGTATACTGTAGGCTTTAGCTTCTTCCAGACAGTTGACTCTTCTCCTGAGGCATGGAATCACCAGGATTTCCCCATAGGGAAGCTTGAAACTGCTGGGCCTGGAGTGGTGGTGGGTGGCAGGATGAATCCCAGGGCCGTTGTTCAAGTACAGCCTCTATGTTGGCTTTTTTTTTTTTTAATAACTGCTTTACTAAAATAAAAGTCACACATGATAAAATTCATCCTTTTAATGTGTATAGTTCAGTGCTTTTAGTGTATTCATAAGTTGTGCAACCATCACCACTCTCATTCCAGAACATTTTCATCATCCCACAAGTAAACAAACTTCTTGCCCATCATTAGCAGTCACTCCCTGTCTTCCTCCCTTCCCCTCTCCAGCTTCTCCTGCCCTTTACTGAATCTGTAGGTGCCACACCCCTTGCCTTTTGGGGATCTGGCATCAGTGGGACTTTTGCCTACCCTGCAGTGCCCCATGGTATGTTCTGGGCCGCAGCTTCCTTTTCCTGTCTCCTTGCCCAGCATGGTCTCATTCACTTTTTTCTTTCCAGAAATTTCTCCATAGCTTACATCACCTCCCTCCCCTCTTTACTGTCTTTATTTCCTATCAAATTTGTCTCACTTTGGTTTCCGTGGGCATCTGCTTGGTCTCTCTTTTTCCCAATTCTGAAAGGATAGATGTTTTTCAGCCTCGCAGTGCCTGTCATGTGATAGGCCTTTGGAGAGATGTTGAGAAACCCACACATCTCTTCCTTTAAAAGGTTTGTAGTCTGGTAGAAACATGGAGATAAGATGTGACATATAATCTTTTAAAAAATATTAGAGAGAGAGGAAGGGGGAGGGAGAGAGAAACATCAATGTGAGAGCGAAACATTGTTCAACTGCCTCCTGCACACCCCCCTCTGGGGACTGAACCCACGAACTAGGCATGTGCCCTGACTGGGAAACAAATCAATCTTTTGGTGCATGGAATGACACTCAAACAGCTGAGCCACAGCAGCCAGGGCATAACATGTACTCTTAAAAAGATAACTACCCTCAGAAGAAGTAGGTGACCTGGAAGTCAGAGACTAAGGGAAGCCAGGTCAGGCCTCGCAAGGAAGTGGGCCCTGACTTGGACCTTGATGGTGGACGGGAGTTAGACTGGGGGTGGAGGGTGGAGTTGGGAGCAGAACTGCAGACCACTGCCTTGCCTATGCATTTCATCTGTTCCTCTGCTGTAGGCTATTGTGCACTGAAGACAGGCCACCCTTCCTCTCTGCTCTACTTTCATTTCCTCCTTGGATTCAGATTAATTTAACAAGTATTTGGGTGCCTGCCAGGTGCCCACCCCCGTGCTAGACTACAGGGGCTTATGGTTGGTGGGATTGGGCAGAGCATTAGGCAGCCAGCTTTCATGCAGCTGGAGAGACTCTACTTGCTCTCTCAGTTCTCTTAAACAGGGTCCAGAGGTTCAGAGAGAGGCAGGCCATGACCTGGCCTCCCAGTCCAGTTTAATTTTTGCTCCTGGTCCATCCCTTTACTTTGGTGCAGAACCTGAAGGAGCGTGGCATGTGGTTCTCTCAGCAGTATCTGACAGATTCTTGTTGAAAAAAATTTTTAAATATATTTTTTATTGTTGATAGTATTACAGCTATTTCCCATTTTTATTGAATGTTTTTGAAAGGTTTGGCTCTGGTCCTGGCCCTGGGCATGTGACAGTAAGTGAAATAGAGCTGATATAAGGATTGAGAAAGGTGGCAGAGTAAACATGGAAGTCCTGTGATTGAGTGACACAGGATGCTGGAGGCCTGTGGGAGGGAACCATGACCTGGAAATGGGGTTGGGGCTCAGAGCAGGGGTCCTGGAGGAAGTGATCTGAGAGTTTCAGCGGGACTAAATCTTAGGACCTGAGTTTGGGCTGGGAAGAGATGAGGCTGGAAGTGATGCACTGCCCCACAGTCCCCCTTGAGGGGCTCGAAGTCGGGGAGCCATCATGGGACAGTCAGGTTTGCAGAGGATGCTCAGGAGTGAGCCTGAGGCAGGATGGCTAGTGAGTCACTGGGTAGTGACCCACACAGAGTGCCAGGCATGGAGGGTGCGTTGCAGAGCAGTATGAAGGTGGAGCTCGTAGAGCTTGGCAGAGGTGATCTGTGGGAGAGGGAGAGTCTCGGTCCTCAGTCCTTGGGTGAGTGGTGGACAGCCTGTGTTCTGAGCTGTGAGACCCTGGAGGAGGTGTAGGTTTAGGAGGGTATGAATAGGTGATTTGGGGCAGGCTATATTTGAGGTGCCCATCCAGCATCCATGGAGGATATCCAAGGAACAGAAGTGGACTAGCTGGAATAGAGATTCGGGGCCTAGGTCACCCAGGACGGCTCCCATCTCTGGGGCCAGCAAGGTTTCCCAGGCCTGAGCCACAAGCCCGTCCCCTGCTCCCCTGGGGTTTGTAGACTGAGGTCCAAACAAGGCTGTCTGACCAGCCCTGCTGTGGAGGGTCACTAATGACTTCAAGCCCACCCTGCTTGCCAGTTTTCTTTGGATAGATGAGATATTTGAGATACATGATATTAGATAGGATATTTGAGAGCTGAAAAAAGATATATTTTTTAAAAAGTCTTAGTGTTTTAATTTAAAAGACTCATGTTTCATTTTATTCCATATACTTTTTTAAAGCAATTTCTGGCCTACTTAAGAATTATCTGACTGATACAGATATAGGTGTATAAAGGTTTTAACAATTGGCAGGATTTTTCCTGTTCCCAGTAATGGTTGCCTCTGGGGACAGAGAGGTGGAGGACAGGGGTGATTTAATCTGTACTGTTCTGATTTTTTTTTCCTTAAAAGTGGGAGAACAATATTTTCATGTTTCTTGCATAATGACAGCATATATGTCAAAACATTGTCAGTACATTCTGGAGGGTGAGATTGTGGGAGACTCTTTTACTTGTACATTGCTGTTCTTCTAGTTTCAACTTAAAAAAAATTCCTGGGGTTAATGAATCTCTGTTCACATCACTCGGACAGTTGGGAATGCTTTTGTTAGGTGCTCAAATGGACCCAGGAGAGAATCCCAGCTGAGACCAGGCCATCTCCTCTGGACATCAGTTCACGTGTTTGAGGGAGCGGTGGAGACAGGTAGATGCTGTAGTGTGCACTATCTTCCCTGGGAGACCAGGGACCCATGGGGTCTCCCACTTCATACATGTCATACTGACTGCCCTGAGTCAGTTGAACTTGTGTGACCTGTAGCCAGCACTGGCTGCTCTGCCTTAGCTAGTCTCATGTCCTTTCCCACTCTCCCACCATGGCATATCAGGGTCACCTTTCTTCTGTTCTGCTCCTTTGATTCCCCATGACCTCTTTGGCATGGAATTAGGCACAGGATTCATTACTCACAGGGGAAACTGGCTTGCTGAAAAGCCATGCTCTGGCGGGGCCAGTGAGCCCCAGAGAGGAGGCGCAGAACGTGGCGGGCCTACTGCTGCTGGTGGTGAGGCCTTTGAATGATCAGGAAGCTGACAGATGCCTTTTCCCTTTCTTTTTAGTGTGTAAGGAGCCCCCATACAAAGTGGAGGAGTCGGGTTACGCTGGCTTCATCATGCCCATCGAGGTGCACTTCAAAAACAAGGTAGGATCCCGGAAGTGGCAACAGGAAGCATGTACATTTCACAAAAGAGGAAGTAGAATCAGTGACACAGCGCTGAGGGAATGCTGGGATTACTGTTAGCGGAGGTGTTCACACTAAAGCCCTGGTTTTGAAGGGTTTCTGCCTCTCCAGTGGGAGATGGGGGCTGGGAAAATGGGCACCAACGGCAGTTGGGAGTGCAAGTGTTTGTGACCTCTCCGGGATCACCTGAAAGTGCATGCATTCCCTAAGTCAGCAGCGACATTCCATGATGGCTAGATTTGTGGATGGTTCTAGAGGCTTAGTACTGGACTGTGATTAGTGCAAAGATCTGGAAATTATCTAAATGTCTGACAGTAGGCGATTGGTTAAAGTTATGGTATATCTCCTGAATAGACTCTTTGATGATCTGGGTGGGGGAGGGAAGTTTTTAATATTATTGAATGAAAAAGCAAGGACTTTCCCAGCCAATATACACAATATAGGAAATAGGAAAAAAGAATTACTGTATACATTAAAAATGTTAACAGGTAATGTGGGTGGTAGGATTATAAGGTGTTTTTCTTTTCCTTCATGTATATTTTATAAACATTTACAGTGAATATATATTGATAACTATTAGTCCATTTGGGATGGTATAACAAAATACCACAGACTGGGTGGCTTATAAACAACAGAAGTTTATTGCTCACAGTTCTGGAGGCTAGAAGTCCAAGATCAAGTGCCGGCACCTCTTCCCAGTTACAGACTTCTTTCTGTGTCCTTACATGGAAGAAGGGGTGAGAGCCCTTAGGAGTCTCTTTTATAAGGGCACTAAACCCATTCATGGGGGCTCCACCCTTAGGACAAAATCACCTCCCAGAGGCCCCCACCTCCCAACACCATCACCTTTGGGGGTTAGGATTTCAACAAGTGAATTTGGGGGGGACAGATTCAGACTATAGTTTTAGGTTTTTTTAAAGCCTAATAATTACAATTAAAGAGCTTTCCTGCAACTTCCTTCTGCTCCTTCTCACAGACACCTTTCCTGGCTTGGAGGTAGTTTGGCCGTGGTTGGGTGCTTTTTCATAAGCACAGCTGGACTGGCTGCAGGCAGCTCCTCTGTCTTTCAGGGAGGATATCTCCCTGTGAGGCCTGTGGATGCCACCACTTCCTTAATGAGTTCTTTTTTCATGCCTGGCTGTGCTGCAAACCACCTGGTGTCAAGGACCTCTGGGGATGGCACTCAGGTGTGCTGCCCCACTGGGAGCTGAGGGGCATTTCAACAAGTGCAGCAAAGTGGGAGTCAACTCTGCGACCATCTGGGGGCCACTTCTCAGAAGCCTGGGCCACCAAGGCTTTCGTGGAAGCAAGGCCTGAGAGTCCTGGTGACCGGCCACCCTTGAGAGCAGAGCCCAACCTGTCTGTGCCAGGAAAAGGCTGTGCCCTAACTTTCAGCAGGGCGTCTGGAGGAGGTGCAGAGGAGATGCTGCACCCTTTGGGGATATTCTTCCAAGGACCTGATTAGGGAGGCCAGGCAAGGGCGTGTGGAGGCAGGAGAACTGATGCAGAGGACTCAGTCCTGGTACAGGTGTCACCAGCCTCTCCAGTTCCCTGTGGAAAGGGATGATGAAAGTACCCCCTGGGTGGTTCAAGAGACAGTCCATCTGCAGTAAACGCCAACAGTCCTGTACATTGGCACTCTAGGGGCGGGCAGTGGTGATGGAATCCTTGAAGCTAGCTAAGCTCATCTCTGGGTTTCAATTCAACTCCTTTGAGGCTTAGAAGCAGTTTTGGGTCCCACATATCAGCGAGCTTTTGTGTGCCCTTGGGTGACTTGTCTGGTCCCCGACACGCAGTCCTTTCTCTCCCTCCTGAAGGCATGTTTGCAGTCACCTGGCCTCTGGCAGTGTTCACTAGGGCCCTGATGGTGTCCACTCGATTTCCCGCTGTCCCTGTTTCTTTGTGAGGCCCAGGGGTCTGCTGGGAGGCTCCTGCTGTCCCCAGGGGTGTGGGGTGCCATGCTGAAGCTGGGCAGTACACAGAGGTAGCCAGTTGGTCTTAGTGCCCCTTCTCCTGGCACAGGGGATCTTTGCTGATCTTCAGATTTTCCAGAGAGAATGGAGAGAGATGAGGCAGGTGGTGTTTCTGCTCAGCCAGGACCTTTCCCTGTGGTGGCTTCTGCAGCCACTTAGTACCTCAGACCTCTCATGTGGATGGTGGGGAGGCACCCAGGTTCTCCCTCAAAAGGGGCACCTAGGGAAGTGGTGACTCTTTGGGGCAGCTCCTCTCAATCCTTACCTGAGGAGTGCTTTCCTGGGTTTTGTCATCCAGACTTCAGGGCCATTCCTATACTGAGTCCCTGAGGTGTTCTACCCCTATGTTCCTGTCCCAGTAGGGAAGGGAACAGGTGGGTCTCTGACCATAGGACTTGTCCCTGCTAGGTACAGCGTCCTCACATACACTGGGGCATTGAGGGGCAGAGGACCTCTCCGAGGGTGTCCTGATCTTTCAGATTCTTTGGGCTTGCTTACTTAGGAGTGCTGGGTGCGTGCGTGCGTGCTCATGTCTTCCACAGGCAGTGAAGGACCCCGTGCTTCTCTTTAATTGCCTCTTTCCTTTGTGAGGCCCTGAGGTGCTGCTCTTCAGAAGGAGCATGTGTGCATCTTATCAACCTGAGCATCCAGCAGTCATGGCAGCAACTGGTTTTGGGTTAAGGATTTTTGTTCTGGTCCAGTTTTTTAGTTGTAATTTAATACAGCAGAATTTTCCCATTTTAGGTGTAGGTTTTTCAGATTTCAGCATGTGTTTTTCATTTGAACCCTGTTGTTGGTGGATGACTGGTTTTTCTGTAACAAAAAAAGGTCACGTTCCTAGGTCTACTTGTCTGACCAGTTCCTATAGAGGCTGTGTAGCCAGACTGCCACTGTGGGCCTATTCTCAGAATTGCAGCATCTTCTCTCAGGATGTTGGACACTGTGCTCTGCCGGCTGCTCGCCGGAGTCCTCTATTCCTGATGGTGGTTTTGTCCTCAGAGATGGACTCTGCGCACACAAGGGGTCTGGGATACAGTGGAGTTACTAAGTGGGTTTTTAGCTCACTGTGCTAAGTGGGTACTTGTCTCCAAACAAGCCCTGGAGCAAGGTGATGTCCCCATTCTATGGAAGAAGAGGCTCCTGGATACTCAGTCACAGGCTCGAGGCCACACAGTAAGTTGCGGAGTTGGGATTTGAACCAGCAGAGTATGTAGTCCTATATGCACACCTGAGACATGCTTGACCTAGAGCAACAGCTGTTCATGGATTCTGGTTTTTGGTGACTTCTGGGTGACAGGGACAGTATGATTTTATGTATTGTGTTTTGCAGATGTCTAATTGTGGGTTCCTGCTTTGGAAGTTTTGTAAAGATCAGAGAGTTGTGGAAAAGTGAATGGTGGTTCATTGCAAAAGTAGCTTGTACAGGTTTGGAGTAGTGTTGGAAACAGGGTCATCATGAATGGATCCACTGGTGATTTTTCTACCCTGATGTAGGCAATGGTTGCATTTGGTTTTCAGCCATGACTTAGTCCTCTGCTGTATGTAAGGTAAGTGGATTTTTGAAGTGGAAGTGGCTCTGCACAGGTTACTTCTCTGGGCCTCAGTCCCTCCATGAGATGGACTTCCTAATTGTGTCGGCTTCTCAAGGCTGTTAAGAAGATTCACAGAGAGATGGACAGTGAGGTCCTGGGCCCAGTACCCTGCACATATGCATTTCATTAGTTTTGTGCTATTGTTGCTGCTGAAGTGTTTTTGCCTCTTTCCAGTAAATCTGGGTAAGAGAGGTGAGTGGACAAAGCAGCCTTGGAGGCTTCCAGGCCCAGTGGAGGTTGAGGTCCCAGAGATGAAGAAAGATGACTGGCTTCTCTGGTGAACAGGGTAGCTCTACACCCAGGACAGAAAAGGTGCTTTCGCAGACTCAGGCGGTTCTCTCATGTAAGCGTGAGATGTGTTTAACCACATTAGCTCCTGAAGGTGGCATCGACAGTGAGAGGAAGGAATTCTATTTTACATGATGTTTGGCACTAGAACTTACATAAGGACAACGTTTGACCTGTTGGCAGGACGCTCTTTTAGAGATAACCACTCCTTTCCCCCAAGGGAAAAAAATGAGGGTGGGGCTTTGATTACAAAAATAACATTTGAGCATCATTAAACTGTTTTTACTCTGCTTGCTACTTCTGACACCAAGTGAAAGCTTTTGTTTTCCTTCTAAAACCAAATGCACGCTGCCTTTTCCAGCACCGCTTTTCCAATTCTTTGATTCTCTAGGCACTGGTGGTGTCCAGCAGTTCATTTACCTTTCATGCCATCTGCCTAGAGTTACCGCAGACCCTACAGGGTAAGGGCTCAGCCCCACAGAAATGCCTCCACTTCTACAAATTAAGGGTTCCCATGAGTCCCTCCTAAAGTTTTATAATTTGCTAGAACAGCTCACAAAACTCTGATAAACATTTTACTTACTGTTATCATTTATTATAGGGGATACAATTCAGGAACAGCCAGATGGAAGAGATGAATGGGGCAAGGTATGGTGTAGGGATACAGAGCTTCCAGGTACACCACCCTCCCAGCATTGCACATGTTCACCTCCCTGGAAATTCTCCGAACCCTGTTGTTTAGGGGTTTTTTATAGAGGCTTCATTATGCAGACACGATTGATTAGATCATTGGCCATTGGTGATTAACTCAATTCCCAGCTCTTCTTTCTCCCCAGAGGTTGAAGATGGGGCTGAAAGTTCTGAGCTTCTAATTGCTTAGTCTTTCTGGGGACCAGCCCAATCCCAAGGCTGTCTAGGGGCCCACCAGAAGTCACCTCATTACAACAAACGATGCTCCAGTTATCCCTGTCACTCAGGAAATTCCAAGGGTTTATCTCTGTCGCAGGAAATGGAGACAGAGACCAGATACTTTTCTATGAGACCATAATTATAAAAAAATGATTGAGGTGAAATTCACGTAACATAGTTAACCATTTTAAAGTGTACA